CCCTCTTTGGCTTGAAAAAGAAGAAGACGAGCCCTTCGAAACGCGTAGGCGCTTTGCATTGCCCTCGTCGTACTTTACACACCTCCGTTTTTTCCCGCCTCCACCCGCTCCATCCCACAGATGCGTGTAGGTAGGTGCAGTACGGCCAACGGCCACTAGATGCCCCCATGGGGCCTTGGAGATAGATGCAGCTCTGGCCTGGGGAGACTCTGTGTCCCAGGAGAAGTTGATTTATAGGGGGCGCCCGAGAGGGGAAGTTGAGTTCAGTTGTGGAGAGCCGTTCAGGAGAGCAGAAGTCTAAGACTGTATGCAGAGTCTCTGGAGAGAGAATGATTCTAGAACATAGGCCGGTCCATGGGAAGGACAGGACCAGGCCTAGGACTATGTAGAGCTATAGAGATTCCCCTGGAGGGGGAAGCCACGGAGCTAGGACTGACAAGGATGGGATTCCAGAGGATAGTGAGAAGCTGTAAGACTGACGATATTTGCCTCTGGCCGGTGTAAGTCGTGGACTCTGGGCTGCACCTGGGCTGTTCTTCTCTCTCTCTAATCTGTATCACCGAGCAAGTATCAAGAGATGTGCCGTCACCCCACCCGGGGGTGGCTGAACGTATACTTTGTTCTGTTAATACCTTCAAGTAAAACCAACAAAAAGACTATCTGTGTGGACTGGTTCTTCTCCCTCCAACCTCTGAGAAGGTTCTGCAGGAGTGTGATGTTGGACTGTATCGTGGCTGTAACCATCTGAGGAGGGTAGGTGTGCAATGGGGCTATGCCTGACACAGAGTGCCGTTCATGGTGGCCTTTCTCCCGGGAGGGAGCGCCGAAGACCGCAGAGGCGGTGGAAGCCATGAGGCCCTGTGTGTGCAGTACTACACGTGTGGGAGTGTTTGCACAAGGCCGAGGCCCCTGACCGTGGGCTGCCTGGTTTCGAGTTGCATACAAGGGGTTACCAGAGCCAACCCAAAGGGAACACACACGCAACACCCCGAGAGTGAACCCCGCCTACACGCTCATCCCTATCAGAGATACATTTCTATACCACATGGTGGGGTGGAAATGGTGCGTCTATAAGGACATACAGAGCACAAGGACTACGAGATGTTTCTCGGGGGCTGCAGTTCCTCTGAGCCCCACCAGGTGGTGATCTCACCTCTTACCCAGACAAGACATATCTATGATACCACAGGCAGGAAGTGACGTCATGTACAGATAGGAAGTGACGTCGGGTGCAGACAGGAAGTTCCGGGTGAGAGGTCAGCCATTGAAGCATAGAGAATACATTGTTGGAACTGGCAGCAGAGAAGGTGAATATTGTTATCATTGTACAGGGTTTATATGGCGCCAACAGTGTGTGCAGCGCCGTACAATATGAGGAGGACGTTATGGTGCAAAATACAAGCCGAGATGGGGCGCGGGGCCCTGCCTGGGAGAGCTTACACTCTAAGAGGGGGAGGGGTGGCTGTGGTATCAATCCCAAGGGAAAAGTTGGGGGAATAGGGGATGGAGGACACTGAGGGGGGGGGAGTTGTGGAGTAGAAAGATAGATTTGAGTGTCATCAGCATAGAAATGGTATTGGAAGCCATGTGAGGTGATCAACTGACCAAGAGAGGAGGTGTAGATAGATGTCTAGATGTCCTCCCAATGTCCTCCATCCAGAGTCCCCACATCCTATGACATCACACTGATCTCACATCTCCTCCCCCCAATGTCCTTCATCCAGAGTCACCACATCCTATGACATCACGCTGACCTCACATCTCCTCCCAATGTCCTCCATCCAGAGTCCCCACATCCTATGACATCACACTGATCTCACATCTCCTCCCCCCAATGTCCTTCATCCAGAGTCACCACATCCTATGACATCACGCTGACCTCACATCTCCTCCCAATGTCCTCCATCCAGAGTCCCCACATCCTATGACATCACACTGATCTCACATCTCCTCCCCCCAATGTCCTTCATCCAGAGTCACCACATCCTATGACATCACGCTGACCTCACATCTCCTCCCAATGTCCTCCATCCAGAGTCCCCACATCCTATGACATCACACTGATCTCACATCTCCTCCCCCCAATGTCCTTCATCCAGAGTCACCACATCCTATGACATCACGCTGACCTCACATCTCCTCCCAATGTCCTCCATCCAGAGTCCCCACATCCTATGACATCACACTGATCTCACATCTCCTCCCCCCAATGTCCTTCATCCAGAGTCACCACATCCTATGACATCACGCTGACCTCACATCTCCTCCCAATGTCCTCCATCCAGAGTCCCCACATCCTATGACATCACACTGATCTCACATCTCCTCCCCCCAATGTCCTTCATCCAGAGTCACCACATCCTATGACATCACGCTGACCTCACATCTCCTCCCAATGTCCTCCATCCAGAGTCCCCACATCCTATGACATCACACTGATCTCACATCTCCTCCCCCCAATGTCCTTCATCCAGAGTCACCACATCCTATGACATCACGCTGACCTCACATCTCCTCCCAATGTCCTCCATCCAGAGTCCCCACATCCTATGACATCACACTGATCTCACATCTCCTCCCCCCAATGTCCTTCATCCAGAGTCACCACATCCTATGACATCACGCTGACCTCACATCTCCTCCCAATGTCCTCCATCCAGAGTCCCCACATCCTATGACATCACACTGATCTCACATCTCCTCCCCCCAATGTCCTTCATCCAGAGTCACCACATCCTATGACATCACGCTGACCTCACATCTCCTCCCAATGTCCTCCATCCAGAGTCCCCACATCCTATGACATCACACTGATCTCACATCTCCTCCCCCCAATGTCCTTCATCCAGAGTCACCACATCCTATGACATCACGCTGACCTCACATCTCCTCCCAATGTCCTCCATCCAGAGTCCCCACATCCTATGACATCACACTGATCTCACATCTCCTCCCCCCAATGTCCTTCATCCAGAGTCACCACATCCTATGACATCACGCTGACCTCACATCTCCTCCCAATGTCCTCCATCCAGAGTCCCCACATCCTATGACATCACACTGATCTCACATCTCCTCCCCCCAATGTCCTTCATCCAGAGTCACCACATCCTATGACATCACGCTGACCTCACATCTCCTCCCAATGTCCTCCATCCAGAGTCCCCACATCCTATGACATCACACTGATCTCACATCTCCTCCCCCCAATGTCCTTCATCCAGAGTCACCACATCCTATGACATCACGCTGACCTCACATCTCCTCCCAATGTCCTCCATCCAGAGTCCCCACATCCTATGACATCACACTGATCTCACATCTCCTCCCCCCAATGTCCTTCATCCAGAGTCACCACATCCTATGACATCACGCTGACCTCACATCTCCTCCCAATGTCCTCCATCCAGAGTCCCCACATCCTATGACATCACACTGATCTCACATCTCCTCCCCCCAATGTCCTTCATCCAGAGTCACCACATCCTATGACATCACGCTGACCTCACATCTCCTCCCAATGTCCTCCATCCAGAGTCCCCACATCCTATGACATCACACTGATCTCACATCTCCTCCCCCCAATGTCCTTCATCCAGAGTCACCACATCCTATGACATCACGCTGACCTCACATCTCCTCCCAATGTCCTCCATCCAGAGTCCCCACATCCTATGACATCACACTGATCTCACATCTCCTCCCCCCAATGTCCTTCATCCAGAGTCACCACATCCTATGACATCACGCTGACCTCACATCTCCTCCCAATGTCCTCCATCCAGAGTCCCCACATCCTATGACATCACACTGATCTCACATCTCCTCCCCCCAATGTCCTTCATCCAGAGTCACCACATCCTATGACATCACGCTGACCTCACATCTCCTCCCAATGTCCTCCATCCAGAGTCCCCACATCCTATGACATCACACTGATCTCACATCTCCTCCCCCCAATGTCCTTCATCCAGAGTCACCACATCCTATGACATCACGCTGACCTCACATCTCCTCCCAATGTCCTCCATCCAGAGTCCCCACATCCTATGACATCACACTGATCTCACATCTCCTCCCCCCAATGTCCTTCATCCAGAGTCACCACATCCTATGACATCACGCTGACCTCACATCTCCTCCCAATGTCCTCCATCCAGAGTCCCCACATCCTATGACATCACACTGATCTCACATCTCCTCCCCCCAATGTCCTTCATCCAGAGTCACCACATCCTATGACATCACGCTGACCTCACATCTCCTCCCAATGTCCTCCATCCAGAGTCCCCACATCCTATGACATCACACTGATCTCACATCTCCTCCCCCCAATGTCCTTCATCCAGAGTCACCACATCCTATGACATCACGCTGACCTCACATCTCCTCCCAATGTCCTCCATCCAGAGTCCCCACATCCTATGACATCACACTGATCTCACATCTCCTCCCCCCAATGTCCTTCATCCAGAGTCACCACATCCTATGACATCACGCTGACCTCACATCTCCTCCCAATGTCCTCCATCCAGAGTCCCCACATCCTATGACATCACACTGATCTCACATCTCCTCCCCCCAATGTCCTTCATCCAGAGTCACCACATCCTATGACATCACGCTGACCTCACATCTCCTCCCAATGTCCTCCATCCAGAGTCCCCACATCCTATGACATCACACTGATCTCACATCTCCTCCCCCCAATGTCCTTCATCCAGAGTCACCACATCCTATGACATCACGCTGACCTCACATCTCCTCCCAATGTCCTCCATCCAGAGTCCCCACATCCTATGACATCACACTGATCTCACATCTCCTCCCCCCAATGTCCTTCATCCAGAGTCACCACATCCTATGACATCACGCTGACCTCACATCTCCTCCCAATGTCCTCCATCCAGAGTCCCCACATCCTATGACATCACACTGATCTCACATCTCCTCCCCCCAATGTCCTTCATCCAGAGTCACCACATCCTATGACATCACACTGATCTCACATCTCCTCCCCCCAATGTCCTCCATCCATAGTCACCCCATCCTATGACATCACACCGACCTCACATCTCCTCCTCCCAATGTCCTCCATCCAGAGTCACCACATCCTATGACATCACACTGACCTCACATCTCCTCCTCCCAATACCCCTCCATCCAGAGTCACCACATCCTATGACATCACACTGACCTCACATCTCCTCCTCCCAATGTCCTCCATCCAGAGTCACCACATCCTATGACATCACACTGACCTCACATCTCCTCCCCCCGATGTCCTCCATCCAGAGTCACCACATCCTATGACATCACACTGACCTCACATCTCCTCCCCCCGATGTCCTCCATCCAGAGTCACCCCATCCTATGACATCACACTGACCTCACATCTCCTCCTCCCAATACCCCTCCATATGGGGTCAGTACAACCTGTGATATCAATGTTATCTGTCCACAGGGAGACCTCCATTGATGACTGCACCAATGATGGAGGAGGACCGTAGTCACATGACTGAGAAGATACTAAACCTCACCCTGGAGATCATCTACCTGCTGACCGGAGAGGTGAGGAGGATTCTGGGAGGTCACGTGACCTGACCTGACCGGTGAGGTGAGGGGGATTCTAACACAATATTCCAATTGGGTTTACAGAGTTTTCCTCTTCTGAAATCTGGTGATCATGTGACCATCACAGTGCCTCCGTGTGACTCCTCAAAACCCGAGAGACCCAACATGAAGAAGATTCTAGAAGTCACCAAGAAGATCACTGAGCTGCTGACGGGAGAGGTGAGCGGTGCCGGGAATTCTGGGACATGATCCAGGAACAGACAAGGGGTGTGTCTGGGTGGTGACGGTATCATTGTGTGTGTCAGGAAGTCTCCGTTTCTTCTTCTAGGGTGGGGGGTGTTCAGAAGACAAGAAGGACTCGTATAAGAATGTAAAGAAGAAGAATCGTAAAACCTTCACATCACCGGGTAAGAGGAGAGAGCAGTACGGAGGCTCCGCCTACATCCCCCATCATCTGATACACACATAGAAACAATGTATTCAGTCAGTGTGTGTGTTTCCTACAGATGGATCCAGTAAGAGGAACCCACCAGAGAGATGTCCCCGCCCTCTGTATTCCCGGGATTCCACCCAGGAAGATCTCACCCTCCCCCACCATGAGAGATGTCCCCGCCCCCTGTATTCCCGGGACTCCACCCAGGAAGATCTCACCATCCCCCACCAGGATCAGGTAGATGATGGATCATTATTGGTGGAGATGAGTTATACGCAGTCGTGTCGGTTACAATGAACGTTTCTTCTATTCTCAGAGCGGAGACCTCGGGGATCATAATATTGTTGTGAAAGAAGAATATAAAGAGGAGGATGAGGAGTACGGGGTGACGGAGGAACCTTCTGAAGGACACAAGGACAATATGGAGGCGTCATCCAGCTACAAGAACCCACCAGAGAGATGTCCTCTGACCCGCCCCCTGTATTCCCGGGACTCCACCCAGGAAGACCTCACCATCCCCCACCAGGATCAGGTAGATGATGGATCATTATTGGTGGAGATGAGTTATATGCAATCGTGTCGGTTACAATGAACGTTTCTTCTATTCTCAGAGCGGAGACCTCGGGGATTATAATATTGTTGTGAAAGAAGAATATAAAGAGGAGGATGAGGAGTACGGGGTGACGGAGGAACCTCCTGAAGGACACAAGGAGGTTATGAGAAGGCCACGTAGAAAGAGGAACCCACCAGAGAAATGTCCCCGTCCTCTGTATTCCCGGGACTCCACCCAGGAAGATCTCACCATCACCCGCCATGGTCAGGTGGGTGGAGTTGAGGGGCGGGAGCATGTGGAGATGATGGGCGGACTCTACAAGATGAGACTTTCTGCCGTTCTGTTGGTTTAGGGTGAAGATCTGATGAAGATGAAAGTTGAGGGTGAAGTAGAAGAGACGTATGTGAGGGATGATCAGCGATATACGGAGGAGGAGGCCGGAATGATGAGGACTTCCATAGAGGAGGACACGCCTACACAGATCAGCACAGGTGACCCATAATATACTCTTCTGTTATCTCTGCTCTCTAATTGGTCCATAGTAGGGCGGAGCTGAGTGATATCATCCAATAGGTTGGTAATGGTCGCCTCCCTCTACTGATACCCGTCCTGGGGCTCAGCTGGTTGGGTTTCTCTCCCAGTTCCGGAAGCCTCGGCCTGCGGTCACTCCTTCTCTGCTGAAGGTTCTACAAGTCAGAACTTTGTTCCTTTAGAGATCACATGACCCAGTGCCTAGGCTTGTGGTTGGGTGAGGAGCATGCTCCTCCCAGTCCCCATTGGCTCCTCTGACAAGGCTGTGTAGATGTAGAAGTGATCTGGGAGGAGTCCCTTTGACTGAAGAGGGGGAGGAGTCCCGGCTGGTTGGGACCTCCTCATAGAACATCCACTCCCTCAGATCTCCTGATCCAGATGGAATGTTGAGTGAAGTCATCTCACCCTCTCATATCTCTCCGTCATGTGTCTCTATGTTTCCAGGACACGCCATGGAGGAACCCTCAAAGGATCCTCTGACTTTATCTCCAGGTTGTAAGATGGAAGATGAGGACATCACAGCAGATTGTGCGGGAGAAGAGACAATGAGCTCCGCTATGGATGGTGGACCTCACAGTGTGGATGGAACACAGAATCCCTCTGACTCTGAGCAACCTCGTCCGGTGGGGGGTGGTGCCGGAATTCAGGGGAAGAAAACATTTCCCTGTCCTGAGTGCGGGGAAAGTTTTCGGTCTGAGTTACGTCTTTGCATACATCAGAGAACACACACGGGTGGGGAGCTTCATTCCTGTCCTGAGTGCGGGAAAATCTACCTTTGCAAGTCCGCACTGAACACTCATTACAGATCTCACACCGGGGAGAAACCGTACACCTGCCTTGAGTGCGGGAAATGTTTTTCACGCAGATCAGACCTAGTTATACACGAAAGATCTCACACAGGGGAGAGGCCATATTCTTGCCCTGAGTGCGGGAAACGGTTTTCACAGAAGACCAGCCTTTACAGACATAAGAGATTGCACACGGGGGAGAAGCCATATTCCTGCCCTGAGTGCGGGAAATGCTTTTCACAGTTATCCCTTCTTAACACCCATCAGAGGTCACACACAGGAGAGAAGCCATACTCCTGTCCTGAGTGCGGAAAAGGTTTTACACGAAAGTCCCATCTTGCCGTACATCAGATAGGCCACACGTGGGAAGTGCTGTTTTCCTGCAATGAATGTGGTAAATGTTATACCGAGAAATCGGAGCTCGTTGCGCATCGGAAATCTCACACAGGGGAGAGTCCATATTCTTGCACCGAGTGTGGGAAATGTTTTTTAAAGAAGTCGCATCTAATCTCCCATCAGAAGTCTCACACAGGGGAGAAGCCTTATGCCTGCACCGACTGTGGGAGAACTTTTTCGCAGAAGTCCAATCTTACCAGACATCAGAGAACCCACTCAACCCTCGAGGAGTCTTAGTGTCCCGAGTGTGGGAAAGGTTTTCTATATGGGTCATATTTTGCCATACATGATCTCACCCGGGGACGAGGCCCACTTTGTTATACTCATTAGACATAGTAATAAAGCTTGTAACAAAGAAATACAGTCTCGTGTCTTTTGTTACACGGGTAACTTCTATATCAAGCGTAGCTGGGGATAGAAGTAACGTTCGATGCATACAGAGCTAATGTGATCTTATAGGTTCCTGTCCTACTGACTATTGGGGAAGGGGAGAGGTAGACCATGGACCACAAGGCACAGCTCGGGGCAACAAATGTCGGGGAGGCTCAAAGCAGATTCAATGGAATACTTGACTTGTACCCAGAATTGGTGTGATAGCGGACAAGATCCTAATGTGAGAAAAATCGGCATCCTACCCCCAACCTCGAAAACAGAGTGGGGATTGGTGAAGTGCGACATGATAAAGTGGAGTGGGGGGGAAGTGAAGTGGAGTAGATCTGGTGGTGTAATTTACATTGTAGTTGTATGTCCTACGAGGAGATGACTGAGGACGTACAGAGGCCTCCTGCAAGTTCTCACAAGCTTCCGGCACCAGCTGGGTATCGTGTTCTGCCATTTGGGAGGAGGAGATGTGAGGTCAGTGTGATGTCATAGGATGGGGTGACTCTGGATGGAGGACATTGGGGGGAGGAGATGTGAGGTCAGTGTGATGTCATAGGATGGGGTGACTCTGGATGGAGGACATTGGGAGGAGGAGATGTGAGGTCAGTGTGATGTCATAGGATGGGGTGACTCTGGATGGAGGACATTGGGGGAGGAGATGTGAGGTCAGTGTGATGTCATAGCATGTGGTGATTCTGGATGGGGAGTTTGAGAAATGGTCACCTTAAGAGCTGGAAATAGAGTAGTAGCTACGTGCCGATATTGGTAATCGTATAAACATGGGTCCGGGGGAGACGTCCACTCCAATGTCCTGCCTTCCCAGCAAAAAGCCGGTGTACAAATGTGATACTCCTCGAATCCCAAAGCACAGCTCCGTGGACAGTCAAGAACTCCGGCAAGGGCGGGTTGACCCAAATCGGGTTGTCGGTCAGTTTAAGTCCAATCTGTCTTCAAGAAGGTCCTCTGGAGTATTCTCAATGTGGTTTTAACATGGGATGCCGATAGGTTGACAGTAGACAGAGTCCATGGAGGACTTGGAGGAGGTCATACTAGATGTCTCAGTAGCTCTACAAGCTTTGTTCCTGGAGGGTTGGAGCCGGTTATGAAGATTGCTTCTTTGTGTGAAGTGAAAGTTGAGGAATGTCAGGCCTAAAGACTTTCGGGGTATTCAAAGGGTTTTTAATGAAATTCTGGGGGTACACCAGTGCCAGAGAAAGGAGGAGCAAATGGAGTCCATTTGTAATCCTGCCCATGAGGTCCAGTGGAAGTCCATCCATTGTCTGGCTTCTATTGTGAAGAGTCTAGATGTTGTCATGAGAGATCGGAGATATCAACTCCTCCACAACCTTGACGTGGTGGACCGGATGTATATGGGATGTCGTTTCTGGATCTAGAGGGAAAAGGTCGAGATTTCTCCCAATTGACTTCAAATCTGGAAAATACTCCAAACTCCGGGGATTTAGAAGGTGACAACAGATTGGTTGGGGTCTTCCAGTTCATAAAGGTGCGTAGTCTGGAACTCTCGCCTCATAATGTGAGCACCAGCCTACGCAAAGAAGAGGTCCACCCTCTAGCTAGCTGCTCAGGTACTTCTTGCAGCGGGTCAACTAATGTGGCCAACGTCTACAGCCCGGAGTCTTCTCGTCCTCTGCTATTAGAGTCTATGCCATCTTTGGAGTCTTCTCGTCCTCTGCTATTAGGGTCTATGACATCTTTGGTGTCTTCTCCTCCTCTGCTATTAGTCTATGACATCTGTGGAGTCTTCTCCTCCTCTGCTATTAGAGTCTATGACATCTTTGGAGTCTTCTCGTCCTCAGCTATTAGAGTCTATGCCTTCTTTGGAGTCTTCTCATCCTCCGCTATTAGGGTCTATGACATCTTTGGAGTCTTCTCGTCCTCTGCTATTAGAGTCTATGACATCTTTGGAGTCTTCTCGTCCTCTGCTATTAGAGTCTATGCCATCGTTGGAGTCTTCTCATCCTCCGCTATTAGGGTCTATGACATCTTTGGAGTCTTCTCGTCCTCTGCTATTAGAGTCTATGACATCTTTGGAGTCTTCTCCTCCTCTGCTATTAGAGTCTATGCCATCTTTGGAGTCTTCTCCTCCTCTGCTATTAGTCTATGCCATCTTTGGAGTCTTCTCCTCCTCTGCTATTAGAGTCTATGACATCTTTGGAGTCTTCTCGTCCTCTGCTATTAGAGTCTATGGCATCTTTGGAGTCTTCTCGTCCTCTGCTATTAGAGTCTATGACATCTTTGGTGTCTTCTCGTCCTCTGCTATTAGAGTCTATGACATCTTCGGAGTCTTCTCATCCTCTGTTATTAGAGTCTATGACATCTTTGGAGTCTTCTCATCCTCTGCTATTAGAGTCTATGACATCTTTGGAGTCTTCTCGTCCTCCGCTATTAGAGTCTATGACATCTTTGGAGTCTTCTAGTCCTCTGCTATTAGAGTCTATGGCATCTTTGGAGCCTTCTTGTCTCAGCTATTAGAGTCTATGACATCTTCGGAGTCTTCTCGTCCTCTGCTATTAGAGTCTATGACATCTTCGGAGTCTTCTCGTCCTCTGCTATTAGAGTCTATGGCATCTTTGGAGCCTTCTTGTCTCAGCTATTATAGTCTCTATGCCATATTTGGATTATTCTCATCCTCTGCTATTAGAGTCCATGCCATCTTTGGAGTCTTCTCCTCCTCTGCTATTAGAGTCTATGCCATCTTTGGAGTCTTCTTATCCTCCGCTATTAGGGTCTATGACATCTTTGGAGCCTTCTTGTCTCAGCTATTAGAGTCTATGGCATCTTTGGAGCCTTCTTGTCTCAGCTATTAGAGTCTATGGCATCTTTGGAGCCTTCTTGTCTCAGCTATTAGAGTCTATGGCATCTTTGGAGCCTTCTTGTCTCAGCTATTAGAGTCTATGGCATCTTTGGAGCCTTCTTGTCTCAGCTATTAGAGTCTATGGCATCTTTGGAGCCTTCTTGTCTCAGCTATTAGAGTCTATGGCATCTTTGGAGCCTTCTTGTCTCAGCTATTAGAGTCTATGGCATCTTTGGAGCCTTCTTGTCTCAGCTATTAGAGTCTATGGCATCTTTGGAGCCTTCTTGTCTCAGCTATTAGAGTCTATGGCATCTTTGGAGCCTTCTTGTCTCAGCTATTAGAGTCTATGGCATCTTTGGAGCCTTCTTGTCTCAGCTATTAGAGTCTATGGCATCTTTGGAGCCTTCTTGTCTCAGCTATTAGAGTCTATGGCATCTTTGGAGCCTTCTTGTCTCAGCTATTAGAGTCTATGGCATCTTTGGAGCCTTCTTGTCTCAGCTATTAGAGTCTATGGCATCTTTGGAGCCTTCTTGTCTCAGCTATTAGAGTCTATGGCATCTTTGGAGCCTTCTTGTCTCAGCTATTAGAGTCTATGGCATCTTTGGAGCCTTCTTGTCTCAGCTATTAGAGTCTATGGCATCTTTGGAGCCTTCTTGTCTCAGCTATTAGAGTCTATGGCATCTTTGGAGCCTTCTTGTCTCAGCTATTAGAGTCTATGGCATCTTTGGAGCCTTCTTGTCTCAGCTATTAGAGTCTATGGCATCTTTGGAGCCTTCTTGTCTCAGCTATTAGAGTCTATGGCATCTTTGGAGCCTTCTTGTCTCAGCTATTAGAGTCTATGGCATCTTTGGAGCCTTCTTGTCTCAGCTATTAGAGTCTATGGCATCTTTGGAGCCTTCTTGTCTCAGCTATTAGAGTCTATGGCATCTTTGGAGCCTTCTTGTCTCAGCTATTAGAGTCTATGGCATCTTTGGAGCCTTCTTGTCTCAGCTATTAGAGTCTATGGCATCTTTGGAGCCTTCTTGTCTCAGCTATTAGAGTCTATGGCATCTTTGGAGCCTTCTTGTCTCAGCTATTAGAGTCTATGGCATCTTTGGAGCCTTCTTGTCTCAGCTATTAGAGTCTATGGCATCTTTGGAGCCTTCTTGTCTCAGCTATTAGAGTCTATGGCATCTTTGGAGCCTTCTTGTCTCAGCTATTAGAGTCTATGGCATCTTTGGAGCCTTCTTGTCTCAGCTATTAGAGTCTATGGCATCTTTGGAGCCTTCTTGTCTCAGCTATTAGAGTCTATGGCATCTTTGGAGCCTTCTTGTCTCAGCTATTAGAGTCTATGGCATCTTTGGAGCCTTCTTGTCTCAGCTATTAGAGTCTATGGCATCTTTGGAGCCTTCTTGTCTCAGCTATTAGAGTCTATGGCATCTTTGGAGCCTTCTTGTCTCAGCTATTAGAGTCTATGGCATCTTTGGAGCCTTCTTGTCTCAGCTATTAGAGTCTATGGCATCTTTGGAGCCTTCTTGTCTCAGCTATTAGAGTCTATGGCATCTTTGGAGCCTTCTTGTCTCAGCTATTAGAGTCTATGGCATCTTTGGAGCCTTCTTGTCTCAGCTATTAGAGTCTATGGCATCTTTGGAGCCTTCTTGTCTCAGCTATTAGAGTCTATGGCATCTTTGGAGCCTTCTTGTCTCAGCTATTAGAGTCTATGGCATCTTTGGAGCCTTCTTGTCTCAGCTATTAGAG